CATTACCATTTGGCTTATCTTTAGTAGCACTTTGAAGATTAAGAGGGTATTAAGAACACAGCAAATGTGAGTCGTTTTACTCACAGATAGCAAAAAAAAAAAAAAACACTACTACCAAGAAGAGGAAGAAGAAGAAGAAGAAGAAAACTGCTTCGGCATTTTTTATCATCATCTCTCATAAAGTTCTTAAAGATGAGCGTCCCCAAAAATCCACCAAAATTGAAACCTTTGTATGCATTTAAAAAAAATGAATGAAAAAAGAAGCAAAAACCAACTTTTTTTTTTTCAAAAATACAATTTACTTATCACCAATAAAATAGAAGAAAAAGAGAAAACAAAAAAGCTAAAAGTTTTTTAGCAGCAATTATAGCTGTATACCAAAACGGCTTTATTCTCGAAGTCTTAAAGTACAGTAGTGTACTTATTACTCTACTATTTTCAAAAAAAAAAAAACTTCTCTCCATTTTTTTTTCTACTCCTCTTGCATTACAGAATTCAATATAAATCCAATAAGTTTCAGTTCTCAATCAGCTCTTAAAAATAGTGGTAGGAATTAAACTTGAAACAAAAAAAAAAAAAGAACAGTAAATTGGAAGGAAGGGAAAAGGTGTATAAATGTGCTTTCACTTTTTTCAGCCACTCAACTTGCAGACAAACTTTCTGAGAAAAGAAAAACAGTTGAAAACAATTTGCAAATGATAAATTTGGTTGAAATTTTTTTTTTTTGGATTCTTTTAATGAAATAAAGCAGTTATTTACAAATTGGCAACTATAATTTGCCTTACTTTCACTTTTTAGCTATGCTATCTAATTCTATTAACACCAAAAAGGTAGTCTTAGTATTCTAATTCAGTTTTGCTAAATTCCAACAAAAAACTCTTCTTGTTTTTTTTTTCTTGTCTCCTGATATTCAGCCAAATGTTGCTGAAACGTTTAAAAGATGATAATGTTGATTTCAAAAATTTCATTTTGCACTGAAGCCTGTCATCTGTGTAGTATCCTTCAGATCTGTTTGGATTGTCCAGGTATGAAAAAAGTGACAATACTATCGTGTCAAACAATTAACATTTCAAAACAACTGCCAGTTTTTCAATTTTTGTTCTCAGTTTCACATATTTAGTTGTTTAAATTTAATCGATTTGCTGAGCATAAAGAAAGAAAAGCAAAAAATGGCTTGTAAAATATTTTGGTCTTTTTTCATTCAGATTTTATATAAACAAAAGAAAAAAAAAAAACAGAAAACGAAAAACCTCTTTAATTTACTGTTGTAACACAATTCGCAGCTGTTTGGTACGACTTAAAAATTGTTGCGAAATAAAAGCAAAGTGCGAAATTGTAGAAGGCGAAAAAAGTTACTGTAAAGCAGCATAATTAGTAAGAACAACGGTCAAGATCATGACCACTGATTTTTACTACTCATTTTTATGCCTGCAATAACTGCTTTAATTGATTTCTTCTCCTTTATCTTACATTTTTCTGTTACTTTGAATAACATAAGTAATGATAAGTACTTTTTTAGTGCTTATTTTAAAATAAAATTTTTGCTGTCAACTGCTGTACATCGACTGCTACTGAACTGTCTGATTGTTTCATTTCTATTAACTGCTTTTGCGGTTATGTAAGGAGATATGCCTGTGATTGGTATTATTTACAATTTCTTTTTGCATCAAGGAAAACAAATAAGAGTAAGAAGCAAAAAAGAAATAGAAAAAAACTTTTTTTCCTAAAGCCTTAAATCAGCGACAATGATTGACACTGCATAAATCCATTGAACGTCTAAGAAAAGCTTTGAAGACCGTCTGATTAGGCAAGAAAAAGACGAAAATTGATGAAAAAAAAAAAAAAAAAGAAAGAAGGAGAAGAATGAATTTCTCAGGCAACAATCGTGCAATGACGACAACCACCAACAACAGAAAAGACAACAACCCCAACAACAACAACAACGACAAAAAACGATGATGGCGATGGCCATAATGATAATTATGACGATGTACACCAGCTGCAGATGAAAAATTTTTAGTAGCTTTCAGCTTTTCATCCCTTCTATTCCAATTCCTTTGTATATTCACTGTAATTATTACCATGTAAAAACTTCCGTTTTTGTTTATTTGCAGCTGCTCTGCTTTACTTCAAAATTTTTTTTTTGCCTACATAAATGAATACTTCCGATATTAATTACTGGACATTGAAAGAAATGATCGAATAACAATGA